TGAGAGTTTGCCAGACGGTGAGTGAGGGGAAATGCTGATCGTCTTCCGGGTTATAGTTGACTTCTCCACGGAAGTGCTTATCCTGGTCCTCGGAGGAGAGACCACCATAACTGACCTCACCATGGACACCGGCAAAAGCACCACGGTCATTTGCAATTGCTTTGAGGAAGGTGGTACAACCAGCACCGGGACGGCCCAGCACGAGCATCATCTCACCTTCACGCACAGCACCGCTGAAATCATGGATCAGGTCGCGAACAGGAGGGTGCTTGCCGAACCGCAGCTGCGGGACGAAACGACAGACGATATTATACAAATCCGGGCCAAAGGTACCGATGACAGCCTGGGGGAGAGTGCGCACGAAAGATGCGCCAGTCTCCACACCTTGTACGGTAAGGTTCTTGAAAACGACGCCGACCTTCTTGGCGGGTTCTCCGGCGGTCGTGCGACGCTCCAGATGACCACCGGTCAGGAACTCACCCAGATTGAAGCTATCGTCAGCCTCATCCTCGGTCTCTTCTTCATCCTTCGCCTTTTCTTCATCACGGGCCTGCGACTTTCGGCGACGAACGCTCTTGGTGACAGAGCGGGTGCGGTTCAAGCTGAGACGGGTGAGTTCACGGCGCATCTCTTCCATGTCCTCCATGGCACCGCTGCGGGAGACCGCCTTTCCGGCCTCCTGTTCTCCCCAGCGGCCATCGCCATCGCTTACAGACGAGCTGACGGTTGAGCTGTCGGTTAAGGTTGAATCGATGGGAGTTGCCGTGGTGTGGTGGACTTGCTCCGTGGTGGGTTGTTCGGAGCTCACATCATTGCGGTAGGTCTCGCCAGTTGAGCTGGATTGTTGCCTGGAGGACTGGGCATGGGCCTGGGAGTCCGAGACGGTATGCGACTGTTCGGAATGGCCCTCCATTTTGGGGCTTTGATGGGTTCTACTCTCCAGCAACAATCAATGGCAGATCTAAATGTATTATTGATATAGCCAGACTAATTAGAAGATGGGAGTATGAATAGAAATTAAAAAGAGAAATGTAAAAGGAATAACAAGATTATAAAAGGAAGAAGAGAATTATAAAGGAAAGGCCAGGGAGAAACGCAAAGAAGGGTTGTACACCGTTTATATTGAAAGATGTAATCACACTTAAAGCCGACAGTCGCTAAAAAGGAAATTGGGACCCTTGGAAGAACCCAAGACGAATTATCGAATCATAAGCGAGATAATGGGCCCAAGTCACGACTCCCGAGCTATAGTGGAGTCGTCGACAGTACATGACTCAGGGTGACTGAGGGTGAATCAGGTTAGAAAGAAATTTCTGTTTCAAAGGAATTGACGGAGATAACTCAAACACCGGGGATTAGCGGGCTTTAGGGTGAGATAGTGGATGTTGATTGGCTCTTGAACGTGTCATCAAACGGAATATCCATTCCTATCGATTTCCTATCGTCAGGATCAGAGGGCTTATGCAAGCACGTGGGGCCGGACTATATATTCCGTTTCTTTTTTTTCTTTTTATTTTTTTCTTTTTTTTTACATAAAATAGAGTCCTATAACCCTAGAACCCTAGAAAATGGAGAATGGATGAGAATGGATTAACAATCTTGCTTACGAATACTCTATAGTCTGACAAACCCGGCCCCCCACCAATATTGATACTCCGTATATAGACAAAGAAGAATGCCAATACGTAGAATGCCGTGCTTTATCGGCCCGCCTACCTAAAACATGTGTAGTTCGGCGACATTTCCATCCCACTGCTCCACTCGGCGGCCCAAAGCGTACCCCGACTCAAAGGATCTTGGTAATCCAAATCTCTGTCTAAACTCCTTTAGTTCTCAAACATGTCGGGACCTGGCCTAAATTCACACTGCCGAGCACTCGGCTCTTACATGGATCCACCGAGTTATTCTTTTTTATTCTCCATCTATATAGGTACTCCGTATGGAGTACTATATTTACATAATTAGTATTCTCTAGCATTTTCTGTACTAATCATCACACCTAACTCATGTCCAGGATTCCCTGGTGATATTTGAAGCTATCATCAAACTAGATACCTCCACGTTGCCAGGTAAGCTATATCACATGTCATGCAGGCTACACCTACTTTTGGGTATTGATGTATGTAGCTCGTTTCAAAATTCATCCAAAGCCATAGAAATCACATGCATGTCGGATGTCACATATGCGTGGTCCACGGTACAAAGATACGGTCTGACTCAAGTACAGGTTACCCTTGAAGATTAGTATTAATACTTGCAAATGACGGTGTCCGCGGGCTCCGAGGTGCGATTCTGGTTTAAACCTATAATCGTGTCTATAACCGTGCCAAGCACCTAACACCAGAGCCCCTAGTATTGGGCGCTTGACAAGGTCAGGGCTACGTACTGTATATGGTAACTCCGGCGCTGTGTGAGACCTAACAGCTCTAGATACATCTACGGTTATTATCCATGCTTCTAGCAAGAAACTTGGAATCCAACCTTGAAATAATATACAATAAAACTTCTAACACTGCCTACCTAGGTAGTTATTTTTTATTCTACTTACGTTTAGCAGCCGCTTGAGCGATTCGCTTCTGAATTTCTTCTTTTGAGAGGATCTTCACGGCGTTGTTTGAGAAGACATAGCTGAGTCCAGACCAGAGAGTGGTACCGGCAACAAGGTACCTAAAATTGGTCAGCAACCAGAAACAAGTAAACAAAATGCAACAACCAATAGAAAATAGAAACAAAACAAAAAACAAAAACAACAAAAAAAACATACAACAGTGAGGATTCGCTGGTGGTCACCCACCCAACTACTAACTCACCGGCGTGTGGCTTAAGTACGGCTGAGCGGACGGGAAGCCCTGTTTTCCACACCCTATGGTCGTATGTACCAGAAAGAGCGTCAATGTGCCTTAGGGCGGACCATTGTAAACTGGTCTTCCAGATAAAACAAAAAAGAGAGGTGAAAAAGAAAAAAGAAAAAAAGGGTATAAAACAAGAAAAGATCAAACTTACTGGAATCCAGTCATAGCCTCGCTCAAATGCCAAGCACTGACAAACGCCTCCGGGACCACAGGCAGCGCAATCGCACTACCCACCAACACCAACTGCAGAGCAGTATTGATCTTGGAGATCTCAGTGGGCTTGACTTCCGCCGAGGGAAGCGAGAAATCCCAGTACCGGGCCATGGTCTTAGGCTCAGGCAGCGAGATCCAACGGTAATAGATAGCCGAGATAGCCAGACCGACATCCCGACCGAGGATGATCACGGCGAGCCAGACTATTCAGTACGTTAATCCATATACATTTCCGCATACCACCATGCGATCAATACGAGCAGACTTACTAGGAAGGGAGCCATTCACGGCCAGACATGCGACACCAATGGTCATCAATAACTTATCGGCCATGGGATCAATGATGGTTCCAACCACTGTTTGGAGGTTATACCGCCGGGCGATGTAACCATCAACGAGATCGGTGATACCTGCATAGGCAAACAGGGATAGTGCTGCAGTGTGGTAGTTGTTGACTAGGAGATAGCCGACCACGGGGGCGGCGAGTAGCCGGGAGAAGGTGAGAATGTTGGGCACAGTGTAGATATTCTCGTGGGAAGTTGGTAGGGGAATCCGCGATAGAATGGGAGCTTTCTTAGATTCCTCGGGTCTACGCTTGGTTAGCTGTGGGTTCATTTGGTCTATGTCCCATTTAGGTGTTGGGCATGTTGGCTTGGAGGCTGTCGACGTACTGTTCAGGGGTTTTGTTTTCGGGCGATTTTGACCCGGACCATCTTTGCTGGATGAAGAATGATGGTGGGATCAGTTTGGTCTGCAGACAGCGGGGTCTCAATCCTCTGGTGGATGGTTAGAATTGCATGGACAAAGAAGTGACAGACGGCCATACCCGGTTGGCACTCGGTTCAATGTCGATTGGACTGATGTAGATATGCACCGGAACCTATCTCTCTGGAGAGCTTCAGTCTTGAACACATTTGACCGAACAGAAAGACGTGCGTTCTTGAACAGCACTTGGGATCCCTGCCGGCTCGCCCGAAGGGACAACTGGACTGCGCATGAGCCAATCATGGTGACACCAACACAAAGGTGACAACGGCAGGCGTTGGTAGAAACCCAAAATTGACCGGCGACACCGATAATCACAAGTTTTCAATTGCGAGCTTCAACTGTGCATACCCGGTCGTTTTTGGGCTATGCAATGGTGATTCAGTCCAAGTGATAAACCAGGGGACCGACCAACGGAGGCTGTCGCGTTGCACAGTTTCTGGTAAACCTTCAAATTCAAACCCTCAGCTCGAAATAAAACAAACGAACAAGCTGACAATGCAAGCAATGCAAATAAAAAGACAGAATGCTATATAGTACAAATAATAGTACAAACACAATCTAGGGATTGTTAGCTGGATATGTCGGAATTCGGGACAGTTTGGCTGAACGCGACATACATATTAGAGAATCCAAAGTATAGATCAGTTCGACCAGAAATTCAATGACCCAGAACCAAAAGCTCTAGATCACGGTCGCCTGAGGTTAGGTGAATATTGGAGATTGCACCTCGGCGATGAGTTTCTGGTCGGATAAATGGTTTATCCGCCCGTCTCTATATCCTCCACATGCAATAAACTATCTTCTCCTAATTTCATACATAGAATTTAGTATGACAACATATCTAACTCTATTGAGTTGCAGATCTATAAAATGACCATATTACCTTTAGTTTCCCATTTCCCGGAGTTGTGTCGCAGTGATCATGATGATCAAGCCTATGCTCACCTGATAGCCTCTACGACTCCTGTGACCTAGAACCCCAGGTGATGAAGAACATCATTGTACACAAATGCTAACTGACAGTTAATTAAAAGTCTATATAGGACAATTTGCCATACAGGTTAAGCTAGATTGTCCGCCTCCGCGTCTAGGGCCCTCGAACCAAATGGAGAGCGAGACAAGCCTGTCAGAACGAATCTGCAGTCTTATCGCTTTGGGGTCGCCACAATGTCGTTTACCTCTGTTCAAAATGGACGTGTCTTGGACTCACGCTCGTTAACTCCAATCCGCAATACACCATCGGCCAAAGAAAAGGAACCTCCGGATCCAAACATGGCGAATCCACGCCTAACTATTAATCGCGCTCTCGTATATGAGCGGCGACTGCCCGGTGATGCTTATATCACTGCGTATGTCCAGCGCCTTCAGCATGGCTATTACTCTAGCGCCGCCGTCTCAGATGAGGATGCCGAACACGTAGATTTTCTCGCCCTTGCATTCACCTTTCATTCGCCGCACACTATCACGCACCGCATCAAGTCCGCCACTATTAGTGTATCAGTTCGTGGAAACCGTGATCTTTCAAGTCCGAAGCCGCACCCTTATGGATATCCACTTGGTAACCCTCGCTTCCTTATGCATGCGCCGCACCTGATCTACGGCACTGTTTCCCCCGAGACCATGGAGTGGACATTCAGTCTAGCTGGGTCCCTCGGAATCTCAGAACTGCCCGTCAGTGCAAGCGTCATCCCCTCGGGGAGTTTCAACAGCCGATACAAGCGGTACGAGATGATGCGCATCCAAGGCTCCGCGCGTACTTTGAAAAGTCCAGCTGGCCGCGAATTCGACGTCGAAGCTGGCAAAATCGTCTGGTCCATGGAAGAGAACAATGTCCAGCGATCGGGTCTGCCACGCGAGTTCACCTTTGCCATGTTGATCCAGAAACCTACTGCAAACAGCAAGATTTCCCTGTTAATCGACGTCGACCCCGTGATTGACGCAATGATTGGCAGTTACCCATCCTTGATGTTGAAACTTCCCGAGTACCAACCTTTGCCGCGCCGGGGCGTCAATTTCCAACGAGAAGTCGGACAGCGATTCGAGCCCGTGGACCCGGTACGCGGGTTCAACTTTGCAGAACTCGGCAGCATGTTCGATGAGTACATTGCGATGCCAGGAAGGAAGTTCAGCCGTCAGGTATGTTCGCTAATCAATAGACCAATGAATCTCTTAGTACATATGAAGTGAACCGAAACTAATAGATACTCCTCTCAGATCCAAATCCCAACTGAGACCGACATCCCAGACAATCACTTTCAGCGCACCTACCCAGGGCAGTACGGGCCTCTCAACCCAATCCCGTACCAACAGCAACTACAAACCCACAACCTAGCCCTCCAGAATAACAGCCTCTCCCTACAGAACAACCTCCTACAGACAACCCTACAAAACCTCTGGATCACCCAGCCGAGGGGAGAAGAAATCCAATCCCGCCCTCAGCAGGTATCCCCCCAGACCCAAAATCAAAATCAAAACCAAGGCCGGGGCTACTACTCCTCCCCCCAATCCTCCCACCCTCACCCTCACCCAGCACCAACATCTTCCACCATCCCCCAAACGCCCGCAATAGCAATACCTCTTACCCTCCACCTCCACCTCGACCCCACAACCACCAACCTCCCAAACCTGGCCCGGCAAAGGCCCGGCCCAGGCGCCTCTCCCCAACCCCCACGCCGCACACCAAGCCTCCGCCGTGCCCAAGCGCGGGAATTTCCTAAGCACGCAGCGACCGGGGCATCGAATAACACCTCCACGGGCTCCTCGCCAAGCATAACAGATTCGATGATCCCGCATGCGGGCGCGCGTTTACAGTTGGGCCGTGCTCCTTCAGAGATTGGGGATGGGGATGGGGATGGAGATGAGAATCAGACGGTGCGCTATGTGAGGAGAAGGGATTCGGTTGGTGGGGGGACTCGTGGGCATGGGAGGATTATGAGTTTGGTTAACTCGCCACTTTCGGGGTCTTTGGTTTCGGGGTTGAATGGAAGGTAGGGGATTCTCTTTTTTTTTGGTTGTTGTTGTTTCCTTATTTTAAGTGGTTCCCCTCGGGTCTTTTGTCTTGATAAGATGCGCTATGTGAGATATCCATCATTCTTCTGCTTTGATGGGTCTTGATTCCCTTGTTTTGTGTTTTGAATCAGAGTCACGGGTGGGTGGGTGTATATCTAGTTTGTTTGCTTTGGCGAGTCTATACTCGCTCTGTGTTTTTATTTTTTTATTTTGCTAATGGTTGTTCAAGTGTATCATTGTGCGGAAGTGTTTGTCTGATCGAGACACCCATTGTCGGTATATAAGTATAGGGTTTGTCTGTCTGTTATTGTTGAAGGGGTGTATAAATAATGCTAGTTTATGAATTTTGATTCTATATTTGCTAGAGATACGAGGAAGCGGTATAATAGCAAGTGATATATATATCCACCTGATGTAGTTACGTATATATATATCTCTATCTAGTTCCGAGGACTATGAATATGGGCTGGAGGACACTTCGGCAATATGTATATAAATAGAGCATATCCAAACCAACAGCAATACCAAGAAAGTAACAATACAAATAGATTAGCACAGCAAGTATACCTTCCGGAGTTAGAGGAGAGGACGTATGTATATTATCATTACCATATATCAGTAGTCAGTTAGTATCAATATCTGTTAAACAGCACAAAACTCAAGACCGAATATAGCTCCACAACATCCGTCTCAATCTTATAGCCTATACCACATCTGCCATTCTAACAAATGCTTAGAGGAGGCAAGGATAGCGAGACGGTAAAGTATGGAGTTTAGAGTATACTAATCAAAAAGAAAGAGTCAGACAGAAGTAGCTAATATTGGAATTGGGGAATTATAAATATCAAAAAGCCACCAGTAGTGCACAAGCCTATAATCCATACTATAGACGGGGAATCGAGTATGAAGTACACGGACATATTGATAATAGCCAGCCCCCAGAACCAAAACCAAGACGACGCATTGAAGCAATCTTTAACCATTTGACCATTGACGATGGAATGATGGGAATCACTAAATCCTGTCCCCGGGGGAACTGGATAGAGCAAATAACAGAGAATCAAGAACAAGAACCCGCCCAGACCAGACGTTGGAAAAGAAACATTTGGACACCGTTTGTGATCGCAGAACAAACATACAAGGAGGGCCGCTGCCTTGGCAGCGAATAGAATATAGAGTATGGGAGAGCAAGGAAGTCAGAAAGTAGGGATCAGAGTCCAAAGGTAAGAAGTAAAAGAAGTAGTAATAAAAAAAAGTAGAACCGTTTTGGGGTTATCGGGTTGTTGCATGACATCGTGAAGAATAAAAGAACGCCACCCACCCGGATTCCCAGAACAGAATCCATATCAGAGAGCCACCGAAAGAGGAAAGAAAATAATAAAAGGCAAAAGGGGGTAAAAAGTAAGAGCTAAAACAGTAAAAAGCAGGAGAAAAAACACAAGAGCCACCGCCGTAACCATAAAGCAAAGAGACCATAACCATATAGACAAGAGACAAAGAGACGAGTACAGCCGCTGTCAGGTACATATTGTAGCAATAAAACGGCGTTTTCCTCCCAAACATAATAGGAGCGTGAGGAGTCTATCTCCAGGTAAAAACATAAGCATGTTGATCATTGATCAACATAGTAAAAAGAACAAAAATTCCGCCCTGACTCCCACGCTCCATGGCCATAAGCAACACTAAAGATACGGAAAGGTATCAAGAGATCAGATTTGAGGTTGCGCCATTTGCGGTTGCGTCGCGGCCGTAGTTGTCCATGTTGACATGGGTTGCGCGGCAGCATATGGCGCAGGTACGTAGTACTGGGAGCGATCAGTAGCGTAGTAGGACGGATGAATGGGATTTGATTCGCGACGAGGAACGTTAGGATCGAGACCAGGCATATTGCGATCAAGTGCTGGATGTGGGTTTTCCATCTGGCCGGACATGCTGAAGCTGCCGCGGGAGTAGGTTGCCGGGGTTGAAGGATCCATTGGGGAAGTAGCGTCTGTTGCTTGGCTGCGCGAAGAGATGGAAGAGTTGCGGTAGGCGGAAGGGCTGTGTTCCGAGGCTGATCTGTTGCGTTCGTTGAGCGAGCCGGGGAGCCCAGCGTTGATACTGCCTGGGATGGAGGCCATGCTGTGTGCGCTCATTGAGTCCATGCTGCCGCCATAGGGCCCTGCGCGGAATGCGTGGTAGTCTTCCTGCTTTGGGGGAATGGCGGATTGCCCTGGATTTGGCAGGTACGGGTTTGGTGCGGATTGGCTTGCCATCGGCGCGCCCATTGAGTATCCCTGGATTGGGCCTTGTTGTGGGGGATGTGTGGCAGCATAGGGACTGGGGTGCATGTAGAAGTCGGTTGAAGGATTTGGCATGGCGTAAGTGGGTGGGGCCATCATCTGCGGGCGATATCCGTATAGAGCGGCGTGAGAGGGTTCCTGGGTTTCCACAGCGTTGGCTTCTAGCTCGTCGATCGGGGACCGGAAGCTTTGCTTCTGGGTGAGTTCTGTGCGGGGTCGGATAAAGCGTAGGGAATCGACCATCGAGGGTGGGTTGAGGCTGCCGCGCATCACGTCCTCCACACTGTAATATGAGACCAAATGGTGGGTCACGCCCAAAACCGTCACGCTCATTGTCTTCTTGACCAACCCGGAGTCCTTGAATCCGTACGAATCAACCAGGGACCCAACCAATGCCCGCTCGAGCTCCGATTGATGAGATGAACGGTCTGCGAAGGGGCCCGAGCCGGGAGATGTTGGAGAATAGCCCTGGCTGCTATCGTGTCGTGGGTAAGGTTCGCCTGGCCGTCCAGCTGGCACTGGTCGTCGAGTGGCCTTCTTCATAGCGCGCTTCTTCTCCCCAGGAGGAAATGGCTTGTCTAGCTCACGGTAAACAAGGAAGTTGCCCAGAATGCGACTGGGACTCCAGGTGACTCCATCGGTCCAGCGTTTGATGCCGGATGCGTTTTCCTCATAGATGAAGACGCTGCCACTGCGCACGAGATGACTCCGTTCTCTGTCATGAGGGCGTCGGGGGACATGATGCAAGACACCGGTCAAGCATGCCTCGAAGAGAATTAGGGCGTCTTGAGTGGTTGCGACATACCCGGTGAATGTGGGCTCCAACACGGCGGCGGTCCCGTTCACCATGATGTAGAGTGTGAAAGGAGATACAATCCCAGGTGCAACCCCCCGGGCGTTTTGCGAGTGATATATTCCCCGATTAAGTGGTCCAAAGGTGCTAAAAAGGAAAAAAAAAGGAAAAAGAATTAAGCTAAGAGATCGACCAGGGTATGGAGAAGAAGGAGGAGGTTTTTGAGTTGGGACCCCTCAGTTGGAGAAATTCCCAGGGATCGTGATCGGCCAGCGAGAAGCACGGGCCTTCCCAAGTCAAGTCAGCGAGTCAACAGGTTGCACCGATTCGATCAGAAAAAAGATGGGGATCTACTAGAAACCCGTTCCACGGTTTGAGTTGCGGCAATTCCCAAGCTTTCTTTTTTTTTTTTTTTTGGTGGATCCACTGAGAGAAGGGAGGGAAGGGAATAACTATGTACCTAAATGGGGACCCTGGCTAATTAAGTGTGAGAGAGAGAGGGGAAGTAAGAAAAGAAGGGGGGGAGAAAGAGAAGGTCTGAGTGGTGATATCTCCACAGGGAAAATCATGGTACAGTGTGATAATCATTAGATTATTTAGATTATTAGATTATTTACTGATTATTGAATTATCCATTACCATTATTACTTTGTAGATTATCTTTGTACCTCTTATATCAAGTTGATACATACCTAGTTATATACCCTAGTTCAAAACCTGCAGAAAAAGAAGTATGGTCAAGGGCACCCGAGAGTCTAATGGCTTAATGTTAATGTTAATGTTTAAAAAAACTTCGGAGGGTTGGAACCGGAGAGTACTTGGATGGTGGTAGATAGAATGCTGAGGCCTGGAGTATCAATGACAGATATGACATGCGATATTATGTTTTGGGCGTTTTTTATTTCTTTTTAATTTTTTTTATTTCTTTTAATTTATTATATTTTCAGCTCTATTTTATTTTATTTTATTATTTTTTGCCATTTTCTGAAATTGGTTTAGCTGACCCAGAAAACGAAAAATGGAAAAGAAAAGAAAAGAAAACGAAAAAAAAAAAAAAGGAAAAAAGAAGGAAAAAAGGAGACGGTGGAATTCGGGAGCGGAGAAATACGGAGAATGAAACATTAAAAGTCATGATTTCACCAAACCCTCCACGAAAAGCAGGTACAGTTTCACTTTTTAATTAGAGACCTATATAACCATGTACTATCATAAAGTAGAAATTATTCTGGTAGACAACGATATAGTTAAATGATCTAATATAATTAAATTAAAACAATATACGAAGTAGAAAGAGAAGACAAGAACAGGTCAAGATACAATCACCCCCGTGCCATGGGTGATCCCGGTGGAGCCGTGGGTTGAGATCGGGGGGTCTCCGTGACATCGTAGACCAAAAGCCAAGGTAGCCCCCAAGTCGATTTTGACCCAGAAACAACGGACAATATACCCAAGTCTACCTCACTTGCAGGTCAATTCTGACTCAGCGGACACCTGCCTGATTTGGAAGGGAGAAAAAAACAGAAGAGAAAGCAGATCATCGCATGTGCCGGTCTTTCTCGAGGGCTGTTGTGTAAGTACAGGAAAACGCTCGGGGCTGTGACCAGTGGCTCTAGTAGTCGTAATTTTACATCTCATTGGTCCATTTACTAATATTCTCCACTTTTCCCATCTGACGCCCCATAAGAGAAATGATCGACTTGTCTCAGACAAGTTCTGTGGTTTAACTGGTTTAACCTTAGGAACCTCAAGAGGATCCCAATCCTCCGAAGGGCGTCATATCTTCCCATTACAGGACTAATCTCTCCCAAGAGAATGGACAGTGCACGCCATACCGAGCTATTGAAAAGAATGACCTCCACCTCGAACTCCGCATGGGTCATTGATCCTCCAACGGCAGTCAAGGATAT